AGTTACTATATATTAGTTTCCTAAGGTAGCCATACAAGTTACCACAAACTGAGTGGCTTAAAACAATGGAAGTCTGTTCTCTCCCAGTTCTGATGGCTAAAAGTTTAAAATCAAGGTGTTGACAAAGTAGGTTACTTTCAGAGGTTCTGAAGTGATTTCTGATTCTAGTTTCCATGCCTCTTTCCTAGCTTCTAGTGTTACTAGAATCTTGATGCTTCTTGGGTTGCGGTATCCTGGTTCTCCCTCTGCCATTACATGGTGTTCGCCCTGTTTGTCTTAGTGTCCTCAAACTTTTCTTCTTTCAAGACGCGCATTCTAATGCAGTATAACCTCAGCTTAGATTGATTAAATCTTTAAAGACCCTATTTACAAATAACACATTTACAAGCTATTAGTAGACATGAATTTGGGTGGGAACACTATTCAAGCCAATACATAATCATAAAGAACTCAGGAAAAAAATATGACTTGTCCTTTGACTTTATAGTGTTTATTCTCACCACTGTGCTTAATCATATACTGTTATACAAAAAAAAAAAACTTTTTTTTTGATTCATTCTTTTGTCGAATATGTTTGCAAATCTTTTATTAGAAGAATTTTAGAGCTGAGGTGAACTTTAGACATTCTCTAGTTCAGTGTTTCTCAGTTTTAGTTGCATTATAATCACCTGGGGAGTTTTTAAAACTTTAAACTCTCAGCACTCTAGACTGACTGACTTAGAAATTCTAAGGAAACTCAGGCAGTCACATATTTTTTTTAATTCTCCAAGGTTGTGAGGATTATAATGTTTTGTTTGAATTTCAAAATCATCGATATAAAATATTTTGTTTTGTAAAAAAAATTAGAGACTTAGAAATTAAAATCACAGTTCAATCAACTCCACTGGTCAGTAGGTGCTGACAAGGATACAGAGAAAGGGCAGCATTTATGTGCAACTGGTGGATTACAATCTGGTAAACTCACTTTGGAACACTGCTTGACAGTATCTACTAAAGCAGAAGGCATGTATGTCCTGTGGTCAGGAAAACTGAGTGTTTACATCCATCAAAAGATTGGCCCTCCCTGGTGGCGCAGCGGATTAAAGCACTGCACTGAGAAACTAAAGCCACTTCCTCATGAGTTCGATTCCCGCCTGCCCCGGAGGTGACCACATGGCGTGGCAGACCTCTCCTGACCCGCCCGCTGCTCCCCTCAGCAGTGTACTTGTCAATCTGCCTGCTCTGCTCCCCGCTCTGTGTGTGGTGAATCCTCTCACCCTCCGCATCTCTGGCCTGTACCCCAGTTCTGTATGAATAAATAAATAAATCTTTAAAAAAAAAAAAAAGACATCTACAACTATGCTCAAAGCAGCACTTTTCATAACTACTGCAAGCATTTTTCCAAAGTTGCCCTTTCTCTTTATCGCATTGTAGTTTTAATTTGCATTAGCTTGAGCCTAATTAAGTACATTTTATGTACTTACTGACACTTGTGAAGTGCCATTTCAAGTCTTTGAACCACTGTCTTTTGATAACCCCTTTAGAAGTTTATGCAGACCAATATGTAGTCTTAAAATGAGCATGTGAATAAGATTGTGAAAACTTCTAAATCTAGATGGGAGACCATAAAATTACCCAGAATATTCCATAAGAATAATAGACCTTAGCATGGTGGAAGTTAGCACTGATATGCATCGGATTGACCAATGAAGTAACACCAAGAACCTGTGACAAAATATATTAAGAGTTAGATCCTGCATCTGAATTATTTAAAAACTGCAAATGAATGTGATTTCCATCCTAAGTTGAAAACCACTATCTCAGAGTAAGATTTAATTTGACATTCTAGCCACTGAGAGTTATAAGTAAATAATGTTCTTATGAGGGGAGGGGGGAAACAAAACCTTTGTTAGTTTTAGCTTACTTTTAACTTTTTTTTTTAAAGATTTATCTATTTGTTCATACAGAACTGGGATACAGGCCAGAGGCTCAGGGGTGGTGAGAGGCTTCACCAGAGACAGAGTGGAAAACAGAACTGGCAGATCAACGAAGTACACTGCTGAGGGGAGCAGCAGGCGGTCAGGAGAGGTCTGCCACACCATGTGGTCATCTCTGGGGCAGGCGGGGATCGAACTCATGCAGAAGTGGCTTTAGATTGATTCTCAGTGCTGTGCTTTAACCCACTGCGCCACCAGGGATGGCCACTTTTAACTTTTGGTAATTTTTTTTTTTTTTTTTTTACTTCTTAAATTTTGCTTTCTTAATTAAAAACATTTTGGCTCTTAAGATGGTCATGCTATTGACATCTACTGTCATGTCTGAAAATTTTAAATCCATATTTTAAAGGATTTGTTTTACAGAAATTTCAAATAGATACATAAAAGCAGAGCAGCGGGCCCTGCTTGGTGGCTCAGTGGGTTAAAACACAGCACTGAGAAGCTAAAGCCACTTCAACATGAGTTCAATCCCCGCCCCAGAGGCGACACACATAGTGTGGCAGACCTCTCCTGACTCGCCTGCTGCTTCCTCAGCAGTGTACTTTGTCGATCTGCCTGTTCTGCTCCCCACTCTGTCTGTGAATCCTCTCACCGCCCTGGCACCTCTGGCCTATATCCCAGCTCTATATGCATAAATAAATAAATCTTTAACAACAACAACAACAAAAAAGCAGAGCAGCAAATACAAAGAAGCATTGTACCCATTACATAACTTTTATAGTGGTCAACAAAATCTTTTTTGATCTATTTTCATGTGCATTCCCTGTATCACACCCCATTTCTGTATTATTCTAAAGCACAACTAGACATGTAATTTCATTTATAAATATTCAGTATATATCTCTAAAAGTCTTCTTTTTTCAAGAGCTACATATTACTTTGCCATAGTTATTACCCCCCCATCCATGGGCAATGACCTTTATCAAGTAATCATTATTCAATTAATTTTTTTTCACTATTTGTTTGAAGCAGGATCCAAATGATGTTCATATATTTGTGTTTGACATGTTCTTAAGTCCCTCTTTCCTCTCTTCTTACTTTGCTCTTGCTCAAGAAGAAACCAGCTTAGTAGTTGTATTAGAGTTTCTTAGTGTGGATTTTGCATTCTTACAGTATTCATATCATTGTATATAGATGTAGATTTTTCATACTTCTCTAAAGAGAAGCTTGCCCCATACATAAATCACTAGGTGTCCCCCAGTTCTAATGTTGGCATCTCTTCAGTCTTTTTGGTCATCTGAAGCTTACTCTGCAGTTGATTCCTCAGGATGTATTCTTGAGTATATTGCTTCCGAGGCTGTCTGGTTATAGAGGTCAAATTGGCAATGTTTTACTTTTTTTTTTCCTTCTTTTTTAAAAATTACTATAAGTATATTACTCTTGTTTCTGGTAAAAGCATTGTTTAAAAAAAAAAAAAACAGTCTGACAATAGATTGAGTTTCTTTTCCTTACTGTGACTTCATCATCTTAAAAGCCTGGATGATCAAATGATTTTTTCTTTAGTTGATTATCATAAATACACAGAATACTGTATAACATGTAGTTTAAGCTGTCCTTTATTTTAGAAGAATGCCCTTAAATTATTGTTTTTTGTATAGTACCCATATGATTTTCTTCTTCAAGAGCTGCTATTACAGGTATATCTTGCTAATGATCTTTTTCACCTATCAGTCTTTAATTTTATCTCTTCTATTTCTTAAATAGCAGTGTTATTGAGATATAATTCATACACCATAAAATTCACCTTTTTAAAGTGTACAGTTCAGTAGTTCTTAATATACTCACAGACGTAGGTACTATCACTACTATCTACTTTTAGAAAACCTTTAATTTTCAGAAAGAAACCCATATCCATTAGTAGTTATTTCTCTTACTTACTCACCCTGGTCCTAGAAACTCCCAGTCTACTTTCTGTTTCTGTGGAACTGACTATTGTGAACCATTTGTGGATATCTTATGGAATCACAGAGTATATGACTGGCTTCTTACACTTTACATGATATTATTAAGGACCATTCAGGTTAGATAACATGTGCTAATACCTACCTCTTTTATGACCCAAACTATTGTATTTCTATACTATACCACTTTTTGTTTATCCATTCATTAATTGATGGACATTTGGGTATTTCAACTTGTTAGCCTTTATGTATTACACTAAGATTTTTGTTTTCACAAATTCTTTAATCTATCTTGCATATATACCTAGTTGTGAAATTGTGGAGTAATATGGTAACTCTAATTAGCATTTTGAGGAACTGTACTTCTTTTCCACAAAGATGCTTATACCAGGCAGGTCTTACAGTTGTCAAGTTCATTTCCACCTGCTTACGTTTGGTGTTTTGCTTATAGATGTAATATTTGGTTTTGTTATCTTCATTGCATTCTCTGGGTTTATGAGGAGATTTAAAGGATATTCAAAATGTATACCACCACTATCATCTTCTCAAAAGCCTTTTATTGACAGATGTTCTTAGAGCACATTCTCTTCCCTTTTTTTTTTTTTTTAAGATTTATCCATTTGTGCATATAGAACTGGGGTACAGGCCAGAGGCTCAGGGGCGGCAAGAGGCTTCACCAGAGACAGAGTGGGGAGCAGAACAGGCAGACCGACGAAGTACACTACTGAGGGGAGCAGCGGGCGGGCCAGGAGAGGTCTGCCGCGCCGTGTGGTCACCTCCGGGCAGGCGGGAATCAAACCCATGCGGCAGTGGCCTTTGCTTCTCAGTGCAGTGCTTCAACCCGCTGCGCCACCAGGGAGGGCCCTCTCTTCCCTTTTTTTAAATACCACTCCTCTTTTTTAAATACACCATACTATATATCTTTTAAATAATGTATGGTGTCTATGAGTTAAAAAGAAAATGCAACACTATAGTTGATTTATAGTTCATAAACTTCAGGTAATTCTGCAGAGAAGACTATAGGAACTTTTTGTAGGCTTACTTAAATATCATGAAGTGTTAATATACCTGTTGAATGTAAGTCATATTTTGAATGTGCTAAGAATCAACTTTTCCCTTTCAGAATAATAAGCCTTTGTACTCGTTTGAAGATAATTCAGACTATGTTTATGATGTTATGTGGTCACCCACCCATCCAGCCCTATTTGCTTGTGTGGATGGCATGGGGAGGCTGGATTTGTGGAATCTCAATAATGATACAGAGGTAAGCTAAAAAAAAAAGTATTAAAAAATAGAAAATTGGGTATTTATTGAATAATTTGTGAAACTCCTTTTATCCAATGAATGTAAAAAGGCAATGTGATTGTAGCTTTAGCACAAAGAAACCAAATAAGCTTTGTACCTTAAATAATAAATATCATGCTGTGCAGAACTAAAGGAAGAAATAGGGTTGTCAAGAGCACTGGGTTATTTCCCTTTGCTTCTAAAAACACTACCATGTCTCTAGTGTCCTGACAAAGTCTCATTCATAAGGCAACTGGGATGTTTTTCATTCACAGGCTAAAAAGCATATACTATCAGATTATTGAAGTATGTTAACCTTACTTTGAATTTGTAAATTACCTCTTACCCTTGATTAAACAGTATATCTTCCATAAACAGTATTTCTGTTACTATAAAATGAATATAAAAACTACCAAACTTACTAATTGTTATATAAAATCTCTTAGTGGCAGTGAAAACTGCAGCTATTACTTATTTCTAGCTATATATATTTTTACCATTTTAGTGGAGTTTAAAATGTTGCTAGGATTCTATATTACTGTGTGGTAGTAAGAAATAACATCAGCAGTTCTATCCATCTATCCATAACAATTGTTAAGAAAGTCTCTCGGTGCCTTTCCTGACATCCCACTCTTTCCCATGTATCTTCCTATTTCTGATGGCATCTATTCCAAATTCCTTGAAGTAAAATAGTTAGTTAAACAAGGCAAGAAGCTTTAGATTGAAAATATAAGAATTTTAAGACTATAACTCCTATACTGCTAGGAAAATGTATCAAGCTCTGGCTAAATGATTGGCTTTAACTATACATGACTAGCTACCTAGAATGACACACATTTTATGTACTTAATTTGGGTTTTGGTTAAAAAGATTTACAGTCTAATTATTAATTAGATTGACAATTTTTTCCCATCATGGAAAATATTTGTAAGAATATATGAATATAAATATTTGTAAGAATATAAGAATATAACTATGATTTACTGTATAACAGTTGACATTCTGGAGGATTATATTGATTATTAGGAGATGAATAGTCTCAGAAGAATTATTTTTTTACATTTCAAAATTTCTTTTAATTTTAGTGTGCTTTTCATCTGAGTCAAACATGGTATATTTGCTCGCAGTGTGGCAAATAAATTTCTTTTTCCTCAGTATAGGAGAAGCACAGTGAAATCCTTAGGGGCTGGTGCCATTGTACTGATGCTGTCATCATACCCTGCTCTAGACAGTTCACAGAAACAGGGCCTTAGGAAAAGACCCATTCTGTACCGTTAGTATGAACTGTTTCTAGGAACTTGAATGAAATCACAGGTTTCTACTGACAAAGATGCAAGCTACAAAAGTAATTCCTATCCTCTAAAATTGAACTGTAATCTGTTTATGAGGGCTTTTGAAATATTTCTTTAAAATGGGGATTTAGCCATCTGTTTTCAAATAGCTTGACTTCTTAAAGAAGTTAAAACAGCAAAGAATCCTTTATTAAAGAGAAGCCTTTCAAAATGATGTACCCAGTCATGTGATAATTTCTTATATAAGGATTTCAGTTACTTTCCAAAATCATTTTCAAGGATTGACTATAATGCCATTTTTTTTAATGTATCACTGAAGAAGAAAGGAAGAAAGTTGGAAAAAATACCTGTTTTCACCTTTGTTTTTAAAAATGTGACATGTTTTACATGTTTATAGAAATCTTGTTAGCACTTTTAAAACTGCACTGTGTTTTAAATGACTTTAGGTACCAACTGCCAGCATTTCCGTGGAGGGTAATCCTGCTCTTAATCGTGTAAGATGGACCCATTCTGGAAGAGAGATTGCAGTGGGTGATTCTGAAGGACAGATTGTTATATATGATGTGGGAGAGGTATGGGACTCACTCATTATAATTTTGACATATCCCTTTAGCTTTCGCAACATTGTAGTAAAGGTATCTCTGTGACTAATACTAGTCTTTAAGATTCACAGACTATATAAACCATATTGTTGTAAAGATAAAACTTACTTTCCACCACAGAAGTGACTGGATGCCCTGTGTCCCTGTACATGTTTTGAGGCAGGTATGTTTTAGGCCATAATCATTCATTGTTAGAAATTAGTAATTCTTCAAGCAGGAGAAATTGGAATTATAGTTGGAGTTTGGGGCTTTTGACACAGTGCTATCGGGATGAAATTTTATTTTTCTCTGATGTTAGGTGTGGTGTGGTAACATGCATTTGGATAGGTGTGAACCTTTTTCCCTAAGTCATTCCCCTAATTTACAGTGTTGTAAATTACTGTTACTTCAAAAAGAAAAAGTTACCAATAAACATTTATTTTTCCTTGTACTCATAGATGTGTTTGGGTTAAGTAGTAGAAAGCAGAGGTAGTATCTCTTGAGAGTTGTCTGATGACTGTATGAAATGTGAATCTTCACTCCTGAACCTTGTTGCAAAGCCATTGTCATTGAATCCAGAAGGAGTTGCAGTTCTCTCATCTTTAGTACTTGGGTTGACTGTACACAATGCCAAGGATTTATTTCCTTCTTTTTAGCCCTCAATAGCACCATAGTCACTCTTTTGTTATGTCTTATGATTCACCATCCTCTTTTGACACCCCACCACCGCTAGCAATCGGATGTGAAGGAAAGTAGATTGAATCATTTAGAACAACCAATTGAACTATCCACACTAATGGAAATGCTGTGTATTTGCACTATCCAGTATGGTAACTACTAGCCACATATGGCTATTCAGCAGTTAAAATGTGGTAGTACAACTGAAGAACTGAGTGAAATTTTTTTTTTAATTTTAAATAATGTGATTGTGAAGAGTCATGTATTGCTAGTAGCTATCCTACTGAATATAACTACCCTACTGAATATAACTATCCTATCTAACCTAACAGGCTAGAATATAGAAACAGGCACATTCATTTGCCACACTGAATGGTTGTGCCTTAATAGTAAAGTACCAGATACCTCCAATATTATAGTAAGAGTTATATAGTTGGTCATCAAACTGCTTTGGTAAAGCAAAATAATTACTTTTTTTTTTTTTTTTTTTTTTTTGAGGTAAGAGCCTCTTCTACCCCTTTGTTATTGACTTATCATTGAAGTGACAACATACCTTCTGATGAAGGGATAGCAATATTAAGGAAAGTTATATCTGCTCTGAACAAAAATACTTACATGAAACAAACTCTTATCAGCCATGCTTCACAAGCTTTTTCATACTAGGGATACTAAAAAAAAGTAGAAAAAAATTATTCAAAGATTTATTTATTTATTCAGGGTACAGGGTGGTGAGAAGCTTCACCAGAGGCAGAGTGGGGAGCAGAATAGGCAGATCAACGAAGTACACTGCTGAGGGGAGCAGTGGGCCGGTCAGGAGAGTTCTGTCACGCCATGTGGGTTATCTCTGGGAGGGGGATCGAACTCGCACTGGGCAGCTGTGGCCATCTTGCAGAGCTGCGTCCTTACCTGTTGCACCACCAGGGAGGGCCCAAAAGTAGAAATTTTTGAGGAGTTCCTCACCACCAGAAAAAAATTCAAGATAGTACATAAGAGTTATATTTACAGAGCATTATTGTTATTCTCTCTTGTACTGAGAGAGAGAATGGCAAAATCATTTCGGAGGTTGTCACAGCACACTTACAAACATTGTCTTTTGTTTGGAGATGTTGTAAATCATTGTTATAGTCCCTATTAATTATGAGAAGGCCGGACAGGTCAATTATTACTTTTTAATGGAAGATTTATTTGAAAACAAACTGAATAATAGTAAGATAGTCTTTTATTTTAGTGTACAAAAAAACAGTGTTTTGTTTTGTCTTTTTAACAGCAGATTGCTGTACCCCGAAATGATGAATGGGCACGATTTGGACGAACACTTGCAGAAATCAACGCAAACCGAGCGGATGCAGAGGAGGAGGCAGCCGCTCGAATACCTGCTTAAGCTCCTAAAAAGAGGATATTATGTAGCTTTAGTGGTGTGGGGAAGACTCGAAGTAGATCCTAAGACTATTTGCATGCTTCTGTCTAAATGATAATTAAAAGGAAACTTTGTGGATTAAACTGTGGGTTTAATACATCCAAATCTTACAATGTCCCTTTTTATATATAACATGCATCTTGTTTTGGATTTGTGTCATTTTTAATATCGCTGATTGACTTTATAGAATGCAGCCTTTCTGAATTCTTACATACCGTTGTTTCTTTGGTATTAGTTACTCTTTTGACTTCTTTTCAACTTATGACACTATATACAGTTATTTTTAAAGCACAGATTAAATAAGTTCTGCATATTTTTAAATATCACAATTCTGTTTTATTGAAAAATGTCTCACTAACCATAATATATAGGATAAGTGTTTCTCAACCATAGCATGCATACATCTATCCAAGTTCCATTCTGATATACTTTTTCTTCTTTATAATTCATGTAATAGCTATCTATAAATAAAACAAATATGCTTTAACTTTTAAAATTTTCATTTTGATTTACTTCTTTTAATTTTTGTATAAAATGTCTTTTTCTTCATATCTCTTATTATGCTCCTAGCTAGCAACCTCAAGTCTTATTAATAACTTTAAACTCTGTCTAAAGATACACCATACAGTATATTTTAGATTTCCCAGTGCATTATATGAATTGATGTTTGGATAGTACATCAGTGAAAAAATTTCTTGTAGGTTATCTTTTGCTTTATTCCCATATTTCCATCCATATAATATGATTAGTTTAAAAATTAAATAGAAAGCTGCCTATTATTTTCACTGAGATGTGTATGTATATGAGCATTTTGGAGTAAAACCTCCTTTAAGAGAAATTGATTTCATGGTTTTAATAGCCATGGAAGAAAATGTTCAATTGAACTTTGTCTTTGAATCTTGAGATATGTTGTCACAGCCTTGTCTACAAATCTGAGAGGTAAGTGACAATTATCTAAGAATTAATGTTGAAAACAGTATACTTCAGAACTAGAGGGAAGAATTATCAGACCTTGATTTTACCCACTTTAAATTGTTCCGTTTCTTAATACTGATCTTTGTCCTAAAGCTTAAAAGGACACCCTTTCGAGCAGAAAGTTAAAAACATTCTTTGGACCATTTTCTTCAGTTGACTGCCCCCAAAAGGTAATAATTTGCATGTACTTATTGTATTTTATTTTTAAAATCCTTTTCACATGAAAGAAATACATTTTAGAGAAAGATCGTACAATCCTTACTAGAAGGCCAACTGGAAGATTTTGAATAGTTATCACTTTTGTGATGCTTTTCTCAATAGGCTGATGATCTCAGATCTTTTGCTGGACTTTAGATGTACAGATTTTCTTTATGCCTACCATATTCATAATTCACTACCTTCTCAAAGTTTGAATGGATTTTGGGTATTTAAGTTTTTTTCACTATGTAGCTTCTAGGCACTGATAGTTTCAACATAGCCAATCAGCAATTTTTTACAAACTTTTCTAAAATTGCAGTATTTTGTGTTGTTAGTTTCATAGCAGGAACCTCAGTTTTGGCTTCTTAATATTCCATTACCAGTTCCCAGTCAGAAGACGAAACAGCTTGCACTCAGGTAAGCTTTCAGAAAGGTCTGTTTCACTTTGTGAGGTCACTTATTCAGGTCTCTGGTAATGTATTATCCTGCCTCTCTTTTAATGTACTTGATTTGGTCAGAAAACTGTGGGGCAGTGATTGTATAGGGTATAGAACTCACGTATATGATGCTGAACATGCAGAGACCTGACTCTCCGACTGCAGAAATCAGGTATACCACTGGTAAGGCTTTGATGGCAAGTCATTTTTATCTTTTGTGAATTTTTGTACTAGATATTTTTCAGACTTTTTTTTTTCCTGAACAAAATAATAGAATTGCTTTAGAAAAAAAAAAAAATCTACACTTATGGGTGGCCTAATGTATAAGAAAAAAAAGAACATTGAACTCAAAAACCCAGGTTCCATCCCTGGTACTCCCGTTAGCAGTAATGTCACCTGGGATAAGAATCAGTATTCTCATCTGTTAAATTAGAAAAATACTTGCTCTCTGTGAAGATTGCATGAGATATTGGGGGTATGAAGACTTTGTAAATTATAAATTAACCACACAAATGAGGAATTGTTTTTTCACCTTAGAATAGAAAAATGAGAAATTTTAGTCATTTGTGCAATGCAATAAAAGTTCATGTTCTAAGGAGTAAGTGGCTTGGTGTACAAGAAAAAGTAATTTTTGAATTCCAAGAAATCACAATTTGAACTCTCAGAACTCCCAGATGTTTAGAAACAGCAATGAATTGGGGAAGAGGGGGTATATTTACTGCCCTTAATCAGTGGTACTTTAACAAGGTATGTTTTGCTTTTATTTCCTATGGTAAAATGACAATATATGCTAGGAGAAAATGGGCCATTCTAAGTATCCAGCCTATACTTAGCAGTTGCTCTTATGTTAATTATATATAAAACATGGACTGTGATAGATCTGGAACCTTAGAAAAGAAACAGAACCTCTTTTTCAAATCAATGAGATAATGAACTGGGCCCATAGTAGCAGAATTGGAGTCAGTCATTTCCACAAAAATCTGGGAAACAACAGTTATTCCAACTGTTATAACTTATGCAATACCTTATCTTTTCTAAGATCAGTCTTCTTGGAAATACCAAGTGCTCACTGTAGGAAGACAATCATTAGGAGGAGCTTCAGTCCTTGGGGAACTGTGTGGCAGTCAAGCTTACAGGAATTCCTAAGAGCAGTCCTGCAGGAGTAGCTTTTATCTAACTTACATCTGGATTGGCATATCTCCATTATTTCATTATACTCACTATGATTTCCAGAAACAAATCAAAACCTGACTTATTAATAACAACTGAGCAAGTAACTTGGTGAAATGAGTAGGCCCTTATTCCTAACGGGTCTTATTTTTCCACTGTTAAAGTCATGATTTGTCACTATTTTGAGGGTCATTAGGTGAATTTGGAGGACCCTTCATCTCCTGAAGGTAAAAGAAATAGCCTTAGCTTTCCCAGCACTCAGGAGCTACTTAAGTAGAATTTGTATCAATTGGAAAAAAAGACTTTGTGTTGAAAATCAGATAAGCAATGCTGCCCTTGTATTTTGCTTCTCATCTTAGGCAAGTCCTTCACCTCTAGACTTCATCTCTGTTGTAAAATTAGTAACTGTGGTAATAACAGTATTATAATAATTGGAAGATATATCCACATAGATTAAAAAAAAAATCCTAGGAGGCTAATTGAAAATGAAAATAGTGTCCTTTAGTTGGAATGAGATCAGCTGAGAGGAAACAAGTGGCTACTAAACCCCTTCAAAACATTGTGGTCCCTAGATTTATATTTCTAGTTCTAAGAGTCCTGAACTTCGAGTCAACTTGTGTTGAAACTCAGCTCATCATACCTTTGTGCAAATAGCTTCACCTCTAATCCTAGTTCCTCACCATTTACAGGACAGTTTTAGAATAAAACCAGAATATATGTGAAAATACATACTAAACTGTAAAGCATTATACAAGTATGAGGCACTGCTATATGGGAGTTAATACTAACCTTCCACAGTTTCAATAACTGCTCTTCCTTCAGTAGCTCCCACAAATACATAGGCTTTATCTTTTTTTTTTTTTTAATTTATTTATTTGTGCATACAGAACTAGGGTACAGGCCAGAGGCTCCCCGGCAAGCATAATTGGCTTCCTGAAACTCTTTCATTTTTTTTTCCTCTTCAGCCGGAACTGAGGGGCGGGGAGAGGCTTCACCAGAGACAGAGTGGGGAGCAGAACAGGCAGACCGACGAAGTACACTGCTGAGGGGAGCAGCGGGCAGGTCAGGAGAGGTCTGCCACACCATGTGGTCACCTCCGGGGCAGGCGGGAATCGAACTCATGCTGAAGTGGCTTTAGCTTCTTAGTGCTGTGCTTTAACCTGCTGTGCCACCAGGGAGGGCCAGGCTTTAATCTCTTAACTGTTAAAAACAAGTTCTTACAAAGTCAGAGCTCTCTATTGAGACTTCTATTTGAACAACCAAGATTTTCTGACTTGACTAATTTAGAATTCACTTCTAATCTCAGCTTTTTATCCCCTCCTTCCAAGAGTAAGGAAACCACAAAAACAGTATATATGTTTCAAGGAAATAGAGTTAAGGAACTCTAAAGATCTTGCACAATTAGTGAAAATAGATGCCTTTTTTCCAAAGTTTCCTCTGCCTTATAAAGAACTGCCATTTACATTCTGACAGTTTAGTATGAATAACTGGTAGCATTGAGCATTTTCTAAATTACTATATATCTGTATGAATGTATGTCATAAATGACTGTATGTATATATACACACTTTATTTTAGCTTCCCTGTGATAAGGAGGTCATGATTCCTAACTTATAAAGGTAGGATCTAATTTGAACAAATTTCTGTGACCTTGGTGGGTAGTGAATTTTCAAGGTATAAATATTCCCACCATGATCGATTGCAAACAACTGATGTGTATTACTGAACATGGAGTTGGGAAGGTGTACATATAATGGGCTCTCGCTGAGCTAGTGTAAGCCAGATGCAACGTATCACCAGACTGGGAGACACCAACTCGCAATGTAGGAGTTGAACCTAGGCAGTCTGATTTCAGAGCTAATTTCCTCCCTACCTTCACTACACTGATCTCAGTCAACTAACAAGTCTGTTTTATTCAGATAAGCCAACCTAAGTGTCACATCTTAAAAGACCTTAAGTCAGTTCTGTAAGAGAGGAATTAAGATTAGTTTGACCTTAGGGTTTTTAAGTTTTATTTATTTATTGTATACCAGAACTAGGACATAGGCCAGACATACCCAGGACAAAAGGACTCACCAGAGACAGAATAGGGAGCAGAACAGGCAGACTTACTGAAATACACTGCTGAGGGGTATAGCAAAAAACGCAGCTAGACCGGGGCCTTACAACTTTTACAAAAATTAACTCAAAGTAGATCAGAGATAATTATAAGATACACAACCATAAAATTCCTAGACAATAATATAGATGAAAACCTAAACCTAGGTGGTGGTGGCTTTTTAGATACAATACCAAAGGCACAGTCCATTAAAGAAATAGTTGATGAACGAGACTTCCTTAAAATTAGAAATGATTTTGTTAAAGACTGTCAAAAGAATAAGAAGATAAGCCAGACTGAAAGAAAATATTTGCAAGAGCCACATCCAGCAAAGGACTATTACTCAAAATACACGAAGAACACTTGAAACAATAAGAAAACAAAGAACAAACATGGATATATAATATTACATATCTGTCAACACCAACAGTGAACCCTAATATAAATAATGGACTTTGGGTGATTATGTTATCTCAATATAGGTTCACCGAGTATAACAAAAAGTACCACTTTGGTGGGGATGTTCATAATGGGGAGCTACACATATGAGGGTAAGAGATATATACGAAATCTCTATGCCCTAATTTTGCAGTAAATCTACAAATGCTCGGGGTGGGGGGGGAAGAGAGGAATTTAAATTATTACTGCCAAATAAATTTTACATTAAAGAACGCAGTAGAGAAGAAATGAACAACAACAAAAACACACTCCAGCTATCAAATGAGTTCAACAAGATCATAGAATACAAAATCATAATTTTAAAAAATCAGTTGTATTTCTGTATATTAATAATGAACAACCTCAAAATAAATTTCCATTCAAACAAATGTAACAAACAATAAAATTCTTAGGAGTAAATTTAACACATAGAGTACCAGACCTGCACACTGAAAATCTATAAACATGGTTGAAATTTTCAAAGAACTAAATAGGTTCCAAAATCATGCACTAGAGCCCTCAGGATTGTTATGATGGCAATTCACCCCAAATTGATAATGTAGATTCAACAAATTCCTATCAAAATACCAACTGGCTTTATTTTTGTAGAAACTAACAAACTGAAATTTATATGGAAGTGCAAAAGATCAGCCAAATCAATTTTGAATAAGAATAATGCTAAAAGATTTACACTTGTTATTTCAAAACTTAACAGGAACCTACAGTAATTA